ACCAATCAAAAACGTGGAACTAGTTCGAGAGTCTCGTTCAGGTGGCGCGTCGACGCGCCAAAACACAGCTCCAGATTATCACGCGTAGTATTACTATATATACACGACCAATCAAAAACGTGGAACTGCTTCGAGGGCCCTCCGCTAAGGTAGCGCGCCGAAACCAGAGAAAAATTGAGACCACCAAAAACAGGCTCATTGGCAATCTTCCTACTCATCTCTGGTATAATTGAGGCCACCAAAAACAGGGCCATTAGCAATCTCCCTACTCATCTCTGCGGTGTAACAACTATGTACCTAGGTCCTCACCATAGACTTCTATATACTACTAGACCGCTAGCTTCCAGTATCCTGCCGTTGAAAGAAGTGAGGCAAATTTTTTGAAGTGGTAGGGGCTGGCCGCCATCTTTTGTAGGGCAAATTTGTGAGTGGGTTACTGTATCGGTTGACACCCGACCATAGATATAGAAAAGACATAGATGTAGCATAAACTGATATTTTAGGCAAGTGGCGTAAAGCAAAATGAGGGGCGGGGGGAGTTCGCTGCATAACCAATCAAATTCAAGCTGGCCCCTCCCTTATCATGCCTTAACATGATTGGTTCTCTTTGTGCGTATAAAGAAACGACAGAGTACGTAGCACTTTTACATCACTGCGCTTGCTTCCAATAGTAACCAATCACAAGTAGGCTCAGTGTACCTCGGCACCCCTTCCTAGACGGCTTCCCCCCCGCAGGGTTATGCTACATCTATGTCTTTTTTATATCTATGCACCCGACACTATTCAGTGGGGACGCAAGTTTCGTTTCGGATTCGGGTTCGGACCGTGGCGCGAGGTACATCGCTGTTGGTTATAATAGTTTCCTCTACAGAACACGTGATCGTTGAGATTTATTAAACTTTATTAGTTGTATACACCAGTTTGCCATAAATTTTGTCGTGGTTTTATTATTCGATTTTCGTATTCTTTGCTAAATCTGTAATTATTTGTAAGATTAATTAAAGTTTTGTACTACTTAATTCTATTACCCGATTTCGTGTGGCCTGAGATCATTGGTTTGGAGTGGAGCCCCTGTTCATCGCGGATGTGGAGCTTGGCTGACGACTTGCCTGGCCTGGATTGTCTCCTTGAGGATTCTTGAGTTATCTCACGCTGTTTAAGAATTCATCGGGTTTCTAATGCAGATAAGTCATGTCGTCTCCTGTATCTTGTCCTCGTCCTAGGTCTCGTGCTGTCCTGTTCGACCCTGAGGGTTTTTTTTTGTTTTCTCTCTCTTGCTTGTATGTACTATAGATGCCTCAATAATACTCTTTCTATACAGAGTCAGTAGGGAATATCCCAGCAACTGCTATTATTCCATTGTCCTCTCTTTAAGGTTTTGTCTCCTTGAGCAGAATTGGGGAGCAATATTATTTTCAATTATTCCTCTTGCCGATATTAGCTTTTGTATTTTCTTTTTCCCCTTCTCACTTCCCCGTGCCGCAGAGGCCTTCGATCCTTCGTGGATTGTGTGACAACATATGGAGATGGCAGAGGAGGAAATTCTAAAAAACAAAAAAAGATCTAGAGATTCGTCTCCCCCTACCTCTAACGCTTTGATTCTTTCTCCTCCTAATAAAATTTCACCGACTCCTCCATCCAATCTCCAAGAAAACATTAGATCCCAGTTTTCCAATCGTTATTTAGAGGATTCAAAGGCACCGTTCATAGTTTATATCTGTAACAGGGATATCTCAAAAAATATTGCCAGATATCCTTTTTCAATCGCTAAGAAACTAGTGAATTTTCAGGGCATACTATCTATCTCCAGAAACGGCAGAGACAAGTTGATAGCCTCATTCGATTCTTATTCTAGCGCTAACGACTTTGTTACCTCTATCCAGTCCTTTGCTAACGATTGGTGGGCCTATATACCGGATTTCAAATCCACAAAAGTTGGGGTAATCAGGAACGTTGATCCTGAGCTCTCCACAGACTGCATACTTGAAGGCACCTCCTCCACAGTACAAGACTCTGATACTCCAGAGGTTATTAGGATTGAAAGGATCCTCCGCACCGTCTTTGATCCTATCGGCTCTAAAACAAGAGTCCCTTCATCTGCGATCAAGGTGGTGTTTGCGGGTGATATTCTCTCTAAAAACATTAATATTTGGTTAGTTGAATGCCCTATAGAGCTATACATTCCACCTGTAATCAGATGCTTCTCTTGCCAACGTTTTAGCCATGTAACTTCCAACTGTAGGAGCCCTCGGAGGTGCGTTAATTGTGGGGGTGAGCACGACAATAGCGCATGCGAATCTGCTACGCAATACTGCGTTAATTGTTCCAGTGCTGGTCATAGGGCAGACTCATTTAGATGCTCGGGTTTTATCCTACAAAAAAAAAAAAAAAAAGACAGATGATGGCCAATGAAGGTATCTCCTATAAGGATGCATGTATAAAATGTGGTGCTTATCCTTCCAAGACTAGTGATCCAAATCCGGTTCAGAGCCATGATCCTAGTGAAGTGGTTGAGGGTCAGGGTCATTCCTCCTCTCCTCAGTATGAAGATCATCGCGACCCTCAGACTATAGAGCCAAATTTAAACGCTGTCAGAACTCAGAATCTCCCCGTTGGTGCCACTCTTTCAAAAATTCAAATTCTTAATCTTAAGGAATTTATTAATAAAGAGGTAAACAAAAAGATTAGTTCCATAATAATCCACATGGAAGATAGCTTGATTAAACTTCTGAATGAGCGCTCACTTTCAGAAAACTCTATTCGAGAGGTTTGTTCAGAAGCCTTTGAATTATAAAGTTCCAAAACTTTTCAGTAATTTGTTTAAATTAGTTTTACTGTTTTTGTAAGCCTTCATGTATCGAGGCCGGTGTTATAAACCACTTTAATTGGTATTGCTTACATCGCACTGTTCCTGTTTATAGTTTCTATTTATATTTAGTTGTTCAGCTAATCGTTATTATATATTATTTAATTAATTTTATCTATTTTGTGATTTACTCGTACTTACTCAGAGACGTAGAGTAATGTCCCCTATAAATAATCTTAGGATTATTCAATGGAATGCTCGCTGTCTGAGGTCATCGGTGTCTGAACTCCTAATTCTGGCTAAAGAGGCGCATGTTCTCTGCATTTCGGAGACCTGGTGGAGCCCTGCTCAACAATTCAAGGTCAAAAATTTTAAAATCATTAGGAAAGATAGAACGGTAGGTGGAAACCATGGAGGTGTGGCGATACTCTTAAGGGAATCTATGTCTTACAGACTAATTAACTTATCTGATGCCTTTCCTGGAGGAATATAAGTAATCGGCATCGAGCTGCTATCTGGTCTTATCTCTACTCCTCTCAGAATTTTCTCGATATACAGACCCCCTAACTGTCCTATATCTGCATCAAGTTGGCTAACCTTTCTGGACCAGTTATGGCAGGCAAACACCCTAGTCTGTGATGATTTTAACGCTCAGAACCCGGCATGGGGCAGTTCCGGATCTAACCAGGCGGGTATTAACCTATCAAATGCTCTCGATAACATTACTTTTTGGTTTTAAATAATGGTAGCGCCACTAGAATTACCTACCCGTTGCTGAACTCCAGTGTGCCAGATGTCACCCTGGCTTCCTCGGACATTAGTCTTTCTGTGTTATGAAGGACTATGGACGATCCAGCCGGCAGTGATCATCTGCCTATCTTAATTTCGGTGAACTCATTTCATGTTGGTTCCTCTCCGGGCCGGCCTAGGTTGAACATGAATGACGTTGACTGGAAGAAGTACGGTCAATGGACAAAGCTCTTTACATCTATTAATTGCCTACCGAATGACAACCTCGAGGAGAGCTATAGGCGATTCTCAGAACATCTCCTGGACTCCGCTGAAAAGTCCGGGGCACGTCGGGCAGGCGGAAAGATGAAGAATCTTACTGCCCCTCCTGCTCTGTGGTGGAACACTGAATGTCGGAGAGCTCTAGCTGAAAGGAAGGCTGCCTTTGCAAAAATAAAGTTCAACCCTTCGCCTGATAACCTGGAAGCATACAAAAGTAAATTAAGGAATTCCAGGAAGGTCTTCTCTAGAGTGAAGCGATCCAGCTTTAAGAATTTTTGTTCCTCCATTAACAATCAAATGGATCCCTCCAAAATGTGGAACATAATCAAAGCCTTCAAATCCAGATCCTTAATAAGCATGTCCGCTGATCAAGGTGCCCACAATCCCTCGGCTCTCGATTTCATAGACAAAGTTGCTCCTCAGACGATTCACATTCCTCCTCCTCTTAGCTCATTTTTTGGTCCTCCAATAGAACTATTCTCGGTTATCAGTCTCGAGGAAGTAGTGTCGGCTGTAAACAACATTAAGATTAAATCCGCTGCTGGCCCGGATCTCATTAATAATAACATGATAAAACATTTACCTATAGAATCTCTTGGAATTCTCCGGAACCTCTTTGGGAAATTCTTCATGGCAGGCACTGTACCTGACGACTGGAAGAAGTTCAACATTATACTATTGCCTAAACCTAATGGCGATGGATTCAGGCCGATTGCTCTCTCCTCTTGCATCCTGAAGTTATTGAAGAGAATTATCTTAACTAAGATTGAATGGTGGATAGAAAATAATTGAATCATTCCCAACTGCCAATTTGGCTTCAGAAAGAACAGATCGTGCTCAGATAATATAGCCATCCTTTGTTCAGACATTAACCTCTCCTTTGCTAGAGGTGAATCACTTGGAGCGGTTTTTCTTGACCTAGCTGGAGCCTACGATAATGTTCTCCCTTACATACTTACCCAAGATCTAATTGACATCGGTCTCCCATCCAATATAGTGTCTTGCATTGCCTCAATCCTCACCACGCGGACAGCAGACTTCTTTCATGGACCATCCCTCATAGGCTCTAGAAGAATGGAGATAGGCCTTCCGCAAGGTACTGTCCTGAGTCCTTTGTTATTTAACATTTATTTGAGAAATATTATGTTGCATGTTGGTTCTCAATGTCGTGTTCTGCTATATGCAGACGACATAGTTTTATACTTCTCACATAAGGATCCGGCATTCACCTCTTCGGTTCTCAACTCGGCTTTGGAATCTTTGTCTCATGGCTCTCCATCTCTCCCAGGAAGTCACAATTCACCATTTTCTCACGAAAAAGGGATGACTGGCATAAATATTCTGTCCTCTTAGATAACCATCCGATCTAATGGTCCCCGACAGCCAAATTCCTTGGAGTCTGGTTTGACCACAAACTTAACTGGAACCAACACATTAGGAAAACCACTGAAAAAGCTCGAGCCCGCCTGAGGGTTATTAAGTCAATCTCACGGATTAACTAGGGAGCTCATCCTAACATCCTTTTATCAGTTTACAAGGCCTTAACCAGATATATACTAGATTGGGGTGCAATATGTTATGGGAATGGCAGCCCAGGATCTCTCATAGGCCTAGACCGCATTCAGTACGCGGCACTGCGCTCTGCTTTGGGGCTTATGATATCCACCCCCACCAACGCTATCCTGGCGATGGCAGGTGAACCTCCTCTTGATCTGAGAAGACACTTTCTATCTGCTAGATACATTTTAAGAACCTTCTCCATTAGGGGCCACCCCATTCATGGGAAATTGAAGTTGATGGAGGTACTGTTAAGTCGATCCTGTTGTGGGAAATACTCACCCTTCTTCTTTTCGAGCTGGCTATCTTCTAAGAGATACCAAGATAGGGTCATCAAACACCCTCTTCCTATATGCTTCTCCATTCCTCCAGCTGCTCACTTCCTGCAAATGAATTCAGATCTCGAACTCGGTTTGACACTGAGTGAGGTCAAGAACCCGAATGACAGATTATCCGTATACTTACATAATGAGTTTAGAAACTGGGAATTTATCTATACAGATAGGTCTCGATCCTCTTCTCCTGAAAGATGTGGAGCGGCGATATTTGACATAAAGCAAGGCTATACCAGGAAATTCAGATACAGCAACAAAGCTTCGATATTTTTTGTTGAAGCATCTGCTATCCTTGGGCCCTACAATTAATGAAGAATAAAAACATTAAAAAAGCCATAATCTTAACGGATTCACGCAGCACTTTACAATGCCTTGCCAACAGAGCTTTCAATCCCAAAATTCATTGCATCATAGCTCAGTGTAAACTTTTGTACTCAAAACTGTCAAACCTTAACTTCAATATTCAGTTCATATGGATCCCCGCTCACCGAGGGATATATGGTAACGAGATGGCAGACACAAAGGCCAAAGAGGCCCTTAACATCTCTTCTGTCAATACTAAAATAGTATTGTCGGACCTGGCAGTACACTGCAAAAGGAACCTCAAATCCAAGGCATTTAAGTTCCTCCTTGAACAAGCAAAATTCAAGGGGATTAACTTTTTCAAATGGTCACCCTCTGGCCTACTCCCACCTTGGTTTTTAAAGATTGCTTGGGAAAGAGAGGACATTGTAATTATTAACAGATTGCGTACTAATCACACTGCAACAAAAGCTCACCTTTTTAGAATCGGTGCATCTACTTCTGAGGCTTGTCAATACAATTCTCCAGTCCAGGATTTGAATCATGTATTCTGGGCGTGCCCTTTAAATCGAGCCGCTACCACTAAACTCGAATCCACTCTGTCTCGCCTAGGGATGAAGGGTCCTTTCCACATTGTGAACCTGGCTTTTTCGGGGGACCCTAGTATCCTGAGAGCCATAGTCAACTTTGTCAGGGCTGTTCAGGGCAGAACACTTGATCCCATCCACTTTGTCTAAGCCATATAATTCTCCATCTTATGTCTCATCCGTACTGCTCCCTTAACTCGGTTTACCTCTTTGCACCCGCTTGACACACGACTTGTCACTCTATGCGACTTTTAACTTCTTGAGACCTTTAACTCTCATATCTGCCGTCTGTTTAAATACCGACGCATACTCGGCGATTTAATTCCAATTTATGCTCTACTCACATTACAAGTTTTGTACAACCAACTGTGTTCCGGCCGTTCATTGGATTACTTACTCAACACAGTATCCAATAGAACACATGTTTTTGGACTAACTCATCTTCTCCTACCTGACTCACATGGACCAGTTACTGGCACATCTCCTCATTGGAGGAGGCAGCCACAAGGAAAGGAAGAAAGGAAGTGTCGTTTCGGGCAACTTCAATTTTAACAGCTTTTTGGTGTCATGTCTTATGTACAGTCAACCGCATTAATGGTGACAACGGTAGACGTTGTGCGGTGAGGTAAGAGAGGAGATTGGGTGGCGCCTGTTCGCGTATCTTGGCCTATGCGTGCACCGCAGAAAGCACTACTGTGCGAGTGAGACGCCAGAGCGTCGGTCGGTGCGTCCTTGTTGAACAGCACTAGTGTAAGCGAGACGGCGACAAGGCCTCTCATGCGCAATAGGGAGCTTGGTGGGGAACCGCTCGTGTTCAGTGCGGTGGCACGCTTTCCTCCTCTCTCTCAGACTAACGCTCTATGACGAGGAGAACAGCTACTACCCCGATAAGAAACGAGAAAGAGCTATGGGACTTTGGGTAATGGGAATGAAATAGACTTTTCCATTATCCAATAAATATATACCCAACATTAAACACGGCGGAAATGCCTGAGAATGAAGTAACATACGAACTGGATCCGACAACTGGGTGTAATAATACTTGATATATTTGTATTCGTATTGGCATCTTCCTTATTTATTTATAATGTATTTTACGTCCCAAAGATTTAAAACTGCGTGATTGGTGATTAATTTATCAAAATTACAAGTAGCAATTTTTAATTTAGTTAAAATATATTTTAGTGAATTAGTACCCATACAGTCGAACCTATCTCAGGCACATCCGTCGTGTTCCACGGAAACTGGAAAAAGAAGTCGTGGAGATAGGACCTCGCCTGAGCCAGTACCAAAGAAGTTTTAAAAAAATATGACAGTCTACGAAGCAGCCATGCTCGAGTTGCAAACGAAAAAAATGAATGAAACGTTGCGTTATATGGAAGAAAAGCACAAGTTAGAAATACAAATTATGAAGCAGGAGCATGATTTTAGAGTGGAAATTTTGAAGGAACAGTTAGAGAAAGAAAGATTTTTGTAAGGACCAGAAGAAAAGAAAAATTGAGTTTTGCAATTCGATCATGGCTGCTTTGTAAGGAATTGTTACGAGTTTCCACCGTCGATGCATCTGTAATATCTTTTCTAACTCACTTATTTACCAGTCACTGCTATTTTCTTCGCTGGATCTATCCACTTATTTCTTCTGCTTTTTTTGCAATCTAGCATTATTCGTTTTATTTTCTACTAGATCACGATTATTGCTTATAAATTGTACATATGATTTTTCTTTGACAAAAAACTTTTCTAAATATTTTTTCCTATGATTAATAAAAATTTTTTACTTTTTTTACATATGTATTTCTTTTAATTAATGGTACAGGTAAATTAGAAATAAAAATATCAGTATTATAATATAAAGCGAAGTTTCATTTATTGAAATGAGAATGATAAATCCACAAGGTTTTCGAAAGGAACTTGATCCATTTGAATTGTTCAGTTTTCGTAGAACTTCTAACAGATATCCTCATCGAAAGGCAGTGTACAGATGATTAGATAGCGCAGATAGGTTAGAGCCTCAGCATCCCCAGCAATGCAGGAACTCCTGTAACCGTTTTTTGGCTTATGGGCGTTAAATAGTTCTTTAAAACTATTAACCAATCGCAGATGTTGTTATATCAACTTCTTTAAAAGAAACACCTCCAATGATACGCACGGCCCACGGTTCGTTTGTTGTTTACGATCGCCAGCTTATTTGACCTCCTAATAAGCAAGGAATAGTGTGAGTCAGCCGTCTCCTGAGATAGCAGTCTTGTAGGTGCGTTCCAGTATAAGTCGTCAATTAGTATTCCACTAATTAACCCCTTTCTACTCCCTTAGGTAATCCAGGATTTCCAGATGCAGCAGTATTTCAGGTAAGTAGAAATTAATTCTTTAAAATTAATCCCTTTCTTCTGTTTCAGGTTCCTTCCAGCGGTGCAGCAGCTCCAGCAAGGGCAACAGTTCCAGTAAGTTCAGGTTGCCTCAACGACCAGCTAATCAATTAAGATTTAGCCCTTCCCTTGTAATCTGTCACTGTCACCAGCTATCCTCTCAAATAGCCCTGTCACTTTGGCCACTGATTGACCAGATCCCCTAGATTGTATTTAAACAATCTATAGATGTTCACTTTCCAATATTTTGTTATAATTGACTTCCCTTCTTAACCCTTCTTCTTCTCTTCTGTTTCAGATTTCCTGTGTGTGAGACAATTCACTATTCACAGGTACGCATATGTTGCAAAAATCGTAACACAATTAAATCACTTAATTACCTCGTAGTAATCCCCTTTATTGGCAGGTACTCAGTAAATTAAGCAAACACTTTGTTATTTTTGGTTAAAAACTCAAAAATATTTATTGATAATGTTTATAAAGAAACACGACACTCGATACTGTCGATATATTACAAGTACGGCGCGGTTTATAATGTTTTAGGTCTCGGACCTCGAAACGCACTCCCGACGCTCCTTCGTGTGGACTGAACTCTCGAGCTCTGCGGACGCTCGCTTTTATAGCAAAGTAGGGGTTCCCCTTACGCGCCCCCACCACTCTTCGGTGAAAATATCAAAATTCTTACATTAAAGTATTAACATTATAAACACTTATCTTAATAACTTATTCTAGCTATTTAAGACATACAATGAACATCCTTTAGAACATAAGTATTTGTGTTAACAATATTTGTGTTTGTTATAAAACTATTTATATAATAAATTTTATAAACATTTTCTTATATAATATTTGTTATTTGTCCATTCTCAGCCGACAATGAACATCTATTCATGGTTATCTTTAATAATTAAAAAGTACTTTAATTATTGTAAACAATTTATGCAACAAACTCTTATTTCCGAGTATCTTTGCCTTCCTTATATGTTACCAGGTTATGAAACAAAAATCCAGTTTCTACTGTAGTTTCGAAGATAAGCACTTTTTCCTTTGTGGAAAATGTTCATTGTCTCCCAACGGTCAAAATCTGGTTTGAACCGGTTTGCCTGGCTTCAAAACTTTTTATCTATTGCCTCTAATTGATTTTTTTCAATTGAGTTATGATAGTAATGACTCTAGCTCACTAGTATGAAACTCAATGTGTTTATAACTCTGTTAATTAACAAATTGAACTTTAAATTTTTTTTAAACAATGATAACCATGAATCTTTCGCCTGTCAATCTTATTATTATTAAATTAAGACTAACAAATGAACGCTATCCTAGTCCCCGGATTTACGCAAGACTAGGACTTTAAAACTTTTGCATATTGTTTGTTATAAACAATAGCATATGAGAATTCTTATCTTTCAGTTGCTTCGATCATTCTTTGACAACTGGTTTTAGTTTAGCTTAATTAGATTAGGAGTTATGAGTAATTGCGTCTTGACCTTACCATACCGGTTATATCCGGTTATAACTGGCTTCGCAACAAAACTCCGCTTCTATTTAAATATTGTAACGTATTTCTTTAACTTGACCCGACACCGATAGCAAGACATACGGGAACGACTATCTTCGAGAACCAACCTACGTTACCTTCGGCCGTCCACCCGTCGTTCGTGCATCCGCAAGCCAGGCGGGCGCCAGTCAATTCTTTTTTCACCGGGAACTGATGAGCCGGTATAAACTGGGAGTTGGGATGGAACAGGCCCAACTCCACAAACAACGAGAGCTCTGACGGAACCTATCAGAAGAGGCGATAGCTTAACGGATCCTGTCGATTTTTGGGGACGCGTAAAATCGAGAAACGCAACCGTAGGTGCTGATCTTTGGGGTCGCGTAAAATCAGCAAACGCAACTCGATACACGAACGGGAGCGGACGGTTACGGAAATGCACGGCCGCTCAGGCTGCTAGGTTTGAGGTAGAGAGGGTCGGAGTAAGAGTCCGGCAAATAGTGCGAG